CCCCCCGTTTAGAAATTTAATCTTTAGATGCTGGAGAGGCAGCTTACTGGCTCAGAGTACTGACTGCTCTTGCAGAGGACCAGAGTTCCATTTCCAGCACCCACCTGGTTAACAATCATCTGTAACTCCAGTTCCAGGGAATCAAACGCCCTCTTCTGGCCTCTGTGGTACTGCATGACACAGGTGCACCTATACATATGCAGGCACTACACTCATACACATTTTAAAAAAAAGAAATTTAATCTTTAAAGTTATGTATTAGTGGGGCTGGAGAGATGGCTCAATGGTTAAGCACACTGGCTGCTCTTGCAGAAGACCTAGGTTTGAATCCCAACCAGCATCCACATGGTGGCTAACAACCATCTGTAAATCATTCCAGGGGACCCAATGCCCTCTTCTGTCCTCTGTGGGCACCGTACAACATCTATGCACTTACATACATGCAGGCCTCACATTCATATACAGAAAAAATAAATTAAAGTCATGTATTGGCTGTTTCTGGGGGTGGGGCCTTTGAAGGCAACTAGGATGATATGAAGTCATGAGGGTCAGGCCCCAGACTTGCTTCAGCAACTTTATAAGAGGAAGAAACCAGAGCATGCTTACTGCCAACTTAGGCTGTTGCAAGAAGACTACTAGATGTTGGTGCTGGGTTCTTGCTAGTCCCCAACTCCAGAACTGAGTGCTAAATAAACCTCTATTGTTTATAAAGTACCCAGACTGTGGTATTGTATAGTAGCAACAAAAATTGCCTAAGATAACTGTATGAAGAATCTGGGTTCAGAGAGGTTAAAGAAGATTCCCTGGGCTCAGTTTACCAGGTGGCCATTTCAAACCCAGGTTATCCACCTGTTATCCAGGTTATCCACCATGTATGCAAAGATGGCCCCATCATGGAATGTCTATGAATGCAGCAGCATTCATGATACAGGTCTATAGGATAGAATGCACCTGATGAGCCCCTAACACCAGCAAATATGGAGCTCATTCACAAGTGTGGAGACACTGGCCTTTTGTGAAAGGCCCACTGTACTTGCACACAAGCCAGTGAGTAGCTGTGTGCACGTGTGCAGCCCAAGTAGCTGAAGATGGTACAGGCAATCAGATGTTGAGCACACAACACCTGGTATCTCCTGGGCACAGCTCTTCCTGTTACCTCTAGACTGAGATGAAAGTGGCCAGTGCTCAGTGATGAGCCTAAGCAGCTGCAGAGGCCCCCGGAGAAAAAGGCCAGGCAGTGGGACTCACCTGGGAGGGAGAAGTGAAGATTCCAGGGGGGCCTTCTTCTCTTTTCCTGTGACATGATACTAGCCTGTGCATGCTGGCTCCCAGGTGATGCTCAGAGCCATTCATCACCCACTGAGCCAATATGCACAGCTATTTTGTGTCAGAAACACTGGCATTCTGTATTAACGAAAAATTTCATTACTGGCCTCCTCAATCTCAGCCCAGCTCTCCTGCTTAACATCCCTGTGTGCAGTTTCCAGAGTCCCTTTTCCATGTTAGATGCACATCAGTACTGCTTGGCAGTAATCAGGGACATTCTGTAGAGCAGCTGCAGTGGAGTGTGTGTGGGGTGCTGGTTTAAACAGACTTCAAGGAAGTTTGATGCTTTGAAAAAATACTGATGTCACTGGGGAAAAAAAAACAAACTGAGGCAGAAACAAAATATATTTATTAGAAATATTACACAGTGGCACACCTTACACTTCTATGTTAGGAGTTACACACATGTCAGCATGTCATGTCCTGATAGTGCTTGGTGCCAACCCTGTGCTCTTGATAGACACAAAGCCACAGATGTATCAAGTGCATTCAACTAATGTAGTTAAAATCAGTGCGCTACTCAAGATGGTCTAGATTCTGCAAAATTCCAACCATAGTCAGAGAACATAAACATCCAGGGAACTGTGGCAGACACAGATATTAAAAATACTTCTCTTAAAAAGGCTGCAAGTTTATTTTACTCATGTTAGTGGTAGGGCATCTCAAAATGGTACTCAAACTGAAATAGTTAAGAATTGTTAGGTTTGGCAGGTGGGTTTGTCCCTAAGGGCCTGTGTTTTCCATCTCCATAGGTTGTGACATGCTGCGAGGAAGAGGGAAGTCAGAGACTGCAATGCGGCTGGTGCTTGTGGATGGCAGGAAGAGAACATGGAAGATATTATTGTTAGATGGCTAATTGCTTTGGGATCTCTCTATCTCTGTCTCTGGGGGAGAGGGGCGTTCTCATCTGCTGCCCAGACTGGTCCCAAATTCCCAGGTTCAAGTGACCATCCTGCTGCAGCCTCCAGAATACTGGGATCACAGGTGGTGGCAACTGTGCTTGTCAGTTCACGTGTTTCTGTGTTCTGGCCATGGCTTGTGTTTTGGATGGTCTAAAAAAGCTGCAAAGCAACTGAATAGTGAAAACACAGGATCAGAATGGGTTTTGAAGGGGGAAGGGCTAGGGAGAGGTTGTTCCTCAGAACACCATCGTCTTCTATGCTCCTGACAAAAAGAACTTTGGCAAAATCTAAAGGAGGATACCCACAAGAACAATCGTGTTTGGTCAGTCTTTAGCCACATGGGTTCCCACAAGAGCAAGGCTGGGCCCCAAAGTGGAGGAGAGGAACTGCAGGGCCTCTGGAGGCTCACATGGGGACTGCTTTCAGAGCCACAGCAGATCCTTACACAGCACCACTGAAAATGGCATTAGGCTAAACTGCCTGGAATCCCAAGGCCTTAACTGAGGTCTGTTCACAGGAGGCCCTGATAAGCCCTGAAGAAACAGTAGCCCTGTAGCTCCATCCAGCTGTGTGGGACTTTTTCCTGCTGTGCTAGCTGGACAAAGCAGCAACTTGGAGACAGTGAGGACACACCAGCAGGTATGTCAACAAACGACAGGTGCAGGAAGCAACACAAGACCAGCCTGTGTTCCAAATGAGCTTCAAACTTCCATTTGGAAATGAAGGGGCTAGTTAGTTCTACAGCTGGTCTCCAAACGGCTGCTCAGGATGCACTGGGTGGGGTTCTTGCCCCTCTGCATGGCTGTCCATCAGTCTCAGAAACTGGAAATACATACAGACTCCATTTTTGTTCCCATTCCAGCTATTCTGAACTCACCTGATCCACACAGGTCAGGTGCAGTTTCTAGAGGATCCCTAGGGGACCTGCATGGAGCCACAGCCAAGAATTACAGATGGAGCTGGGAGGTAGAGACTGTGGCTCTACAAGGTTATGCTAGCTTGAGAACAGGGCTGCTGTACCCGATGTCACCAATGCACAGGGATCACCCAGAGGGAGAGACAGAGCCCAGGCTTCTCCTAGGGCAGGGACTGGACCTGCAGAGTGCTCCAATAAGCAGTCAGAGATTTATGTTCAACAACTATGGCAGTTACCACTTTCAGGACTTACAATGAGGATGGTCTTTCTGTCAGAGGACCAGCACAGGACAATTTGGCACTTAAAACAGCAAGTGATGGAATGTTGACGTATACCCCACTGCCTAGGTGAAGAACACCCTCATTTGCTATGAGGTACACGTTTATTTGTTCAAGAAAAATAACCAGAGCCAGTGGAGCCACCTAGACTGAGCACTTAGGGAGGAGCAGTGCCACTCCTCTACAGAACCAGTGGGATATCAGGGAAAGTGCATTTCTCTGCTCTACTGCAAACGGAGCCAGCAGCAGCAGCTTCTCACAGCTTCTTATTGATAGGCAAATGAAAAAGTCCTAATCAGTACCAAGATCAAGTCTGTTTGGAGCTGAAATGCAGTTTATATCTCTGTCTGTCCGAAATTCCAAGGGACACCCCCCCCAGCCTATGGAACTGTGTAAATGTACAAGGAGTAGACACAGGTCACTTTATATATGTGACTTCTGTTAAGTGTTGGGAGTGTGTGTGTGTGTGTGTGAGTGCACACGTGTGCACCACGTGCATGGGAGTATAATAAAAGTCAGGACAGAAGCCGGGGCACTCAGGCCATGTGGTCAGTGCACATGCCAGCTGTTGGATGCCTCGCAGGGTCCCTCAGCAAGGTACCCAGGAGCTCCTTTGCACAGTCAAGGAATCAAATAGGTGCAATGAGATGTATACAGTGTAATTAAGGCCTACATTACCTAGAATTGAACAGAATATTTTCCCAGATGGTAGGGTCAGTGTGTTTCCAGGTTGCTGGGAAGCAAAAGTTGCTTTTGGTTTTGTTTTGTAGGGTGTTGTTTTATTTGGGGAGAGGGTAGTTGGTAAGGACAAAGTTTTGATAAAAGCCAAAGCTAGAGCATTTTGAGTAAAGGAAGGAGAAAAATGAAAAGAAAAAGACAAAGTGATCTGGAAGTGCTATGTGACAGGGCTCTCCATGTAGATCATATGTTGGCACTAAATGGGACTAGCAACACACTGGATTCTCACAGAAGGGAGCCTGGCTTGGGATCCCAGTGTGCAAGAAAGGAGACCGTCCTCTTTAGAAACTTCCCATGGGGAGCAAGGATTCCCAAGCTTAAGCTCCAGACACCTTTGTATCTGAGGTGGGGATGTGATGAAGCCAGCTCTGCTTCTCACTGGAGTTCTGGTCCATGTGGTTTGAGGTGGCTAGGTGTTGGGCACAGCAGGTGTGGTGGACGGTGAACAGGCACTTCCAGAACAAACTGCAGCCTGAGGAGGCAGCTGCTGCTGCTGGGCCCTGGGGTTTACGTCTCAAAGTATTTGTAGATCTGGGCCACATACTGCATCACACTCTGCCAGTCGGGCCGGTCCGTGTACAGCATCTCACTGAGCTCCTGCAGGGGAAAGGGACAGGTCACAAGCAGAACATCCCAGGCCCATTCCTACAAAGGGACTCTGATCCAGGACAGGCTGTTACAGCCTAGAAACCCTCTGCCTACACAAACAAAGGTACAGGCAAACACAGATCATGCTAAAGGTTCTGAGTTAGACTTGATCCTCTTTACCTGGGAGGTATGTTTCTTTTTTTTAAAATTTAATTTTATTTCATGTATATGAGTATATTGCCTGCATGCATGTGACTGCACGCATGTCGTGCAATGCTGCGGAGGTCAGAAGAGGGCTTTGGATTCCCCTGGAACTGGAGTTAAGGACAGTTCTAACGGCCATGTGGGTGCTGGGAATTGAACCTGGGTCTTCTGCAAGAGCAGTCAGTGCTCTTAACCGCTGAGCCGTCTCTCCAGCCCCGGAGGTATGTTTCTTTAAAAGACATGGCACAACTTCCCACTGCTTTCATCTTTAAACACAGCACTATTAAATTTTTTTCCAACAGTCATCCATACTTCCACTACCAGAAAAGGGTTCCTACTTGGTTCTACAGTGTGCATGAATGTAAGTCAACCAGCCTCTACGTTCCCAGATTCCCACCACAGCGGACATGCTTTGTGTAGTCTGTCTTTCTTCAGGACATCCTATGAGTGATTTTCCATGCTGCTGCAGTGTTACCAGCTGTCGCTTTAGTGGGTATGCACTCTCTGTAATTGACACGATCTGTTGTCTGCTTCTATTGAATTATACATTGCTCTGGCTAGTATTAGGACTTTCTTTCAAATTAGGCCATGAAGAGCTAGTCCTATGAATGGGGTTACCATAGATGCCTTGAGCAATTTAAACCATGTGTAATACTAGTATTGTTACTATTTAGTATGTGGGCTTTTCTTTTTCTTCCTTTCTTTCCTTTTTTTGCTAGTTAAAAAAAAATTTATGTCCTGGTGTGGTGGCGCATGCCTTTAGTCCCAGCACTCAGGAGACGGAGGCAGGTGGATCTCTGTGAGTTCAAGGCCAGTCTGGTTTACATACTGAGTTCCAGGTCAGCTGGGGCTATAGGGAGACCCTGTCTTGAAAAAGACCGAAAAAAAACCCCCAAAAAACAAAAAACAAAAAAAAACACCTTTTTGTGCTATTTATTTAGTTTTATTAATTTACTTCTTTTAGGGAGCTAATTTTACAAGTAAGCTTGCAATACAAGGACAAGGACAAGAGAGAAAGTGACAAGTCAGGAGAGAGAGCTGAGTGTTACTGGCAGGGCACTAGCCAAGCTCTTTAGAAACATGTTTAATTATTAACTTTGGGATTGGATTTGAATCCTTTTGTGGTCACAAGAGAACAGTGGGAAAGAACCCTGACCCATAGCCAGGAGCAGAAACTCCCTGGAAAAAGAAGGCTAACCTGAGCACATCTGCTCTTGGGTGGTAACGCACAGAGGCTTAGCCTCAGCACCTGAACATACTTCACCCCCTCTGCTCCCAGTCATGGTAAAATGATCAACATGTTATAATCCATGAGGAAGGGGTACAGAGGGAGCAAGTAGAGCCATCTATACACATCTGCCAAGAAACTATTTTAAAGGAAAAAACAAAATTCTTGACAAAGAGGGTTGCTAATGACCTCTTGGAAAAGAGACACAGACTGAGCAAGCTGGGCGTGGTGGCACGCGCCTGTAGCCCTAGCACTTGGGAGGCAGAGGCAGGAGTATCTCTGAGTTCAAGGCCAGCCTGGTCTACATAATGCATTCCAGGACAGCTGGGGCTATAGTGAGACCTTGTTAAAAAAAAAAAAAGACTGAGTAAGCTCACTTGGAGGTAGAGGAGCTTCGAGAAGGAAGGGCAGCCTACATACTCAAACCTATGAACTCAAGAGAAACAGCATGAACTTTTCTTTCTGCAGAGGGATGTCTTCAGTCTCAGAGATGATTTGAAAGTACAATTAATATTCAGTTTTACTCAGACCATTTTGTATTGGCAATAACATAATTAAAATTATTTTGGTACATCATTAACATCACATTTGAAAATCTCTGAAGAAATATTTTGCACATTTCAGGAGAAGAGAGAATAGGTTATCTTAGTAACCTATTTTTAATCAAGCTTGACATTTGTTTGAATAAACAGTTAAAAACCTTCCAAACTCCCCCACAAACCCAGGTCCATATGATTCCACCAAACACAGAAGGAATAACTAATATCAGTTAGTCACAATCTCAGAAAATAGAAGACGAGGGAACACTTCTCAACTCCTTCTATGAGGCCAGCATCATCCTACTACCAGAACCAGACAGAGAGACTGCAAGAAAACTATGCATAAGTTTCTCAGACAAATAGGCACAAAAACATACTAGCAAGTTGAGCAAATATTAGTAAACTAATTCATCAATCTATAAAAGTAGAATATATCATGATCAAGTGAGGTTCATTCCAGGAATACAAAGCTGGTACAAGTTTTGTAAATCAGTATAATTCATCATATTGACAGACTAAGAAAAAATGTTATCAACAAACTTCAGCATCCATTCATGATAAAAATTCTCAAAACACTAAGAAGTGAAATTATTTATGTAATAAACACTATGTACCCTCAACCCAATAGCTAGCATCATACTAACTGTGAAAGACAATGCTTTCCCTCTCACATCAAGAACAAGACAAAGATGGACTCTCTCACTTGCTCTGTTCAATATAGTACTTGAAATTCTAGCTAGGCATGAAAAATAGAAGGCATACAGATTAGAAAGGAAACAATAAAACTGGTTTATCTGCACTGCCAGGACTGTGTAGGCTGAACATGTGTCTACATGTAAGTTTAGCCAGATTTTAGTGTAAGAAGTCATACAAACCTCAGTCATTGCCCAGCATGGTGGTACAAGTCTTTAATCCCAGCACTCAGGAGGCAGAGGAAGGTAGATGGATCTCTGTGAGTTCAAGGCCAGTCTGGTCTACATAGTGAGTTCCAGGCCAGCTGGGGCTGCAGGGAGACCCTATCTCACAACCCAGAACAAACCAAAACCAAAACTAAAACAAATAAACAAAAACCCTTTAGTCAGTTTCCTATAAATCAGAAATGAACAACTGGAATCTGTCATTAGGGAAAAAACAAACAAATAAAAATTAGTCATACCTGCCTCCAAAGTTTTTTTTTTTTTTTTTTTTTTTTTTTTTTTTTGAGAAAAAGATTCACACTTAGCCCAGACTGGCTGCAACTATGTAGCTAGACTGACCCCATCTCTTACCCAGACTCACAAGCTCTAGGATTATAGGCCAGATTCATATATCCAACTACCACAGGCAACTCTGTTAGTATCCAATAGATGCCCTTCCCCACTCTTTTTTTTTTTCTGTCTTTTTGTTGGTTGTTTTTTAACAAGGCCCCTCTAGTCACAGCTGACCTGGAAGTCACAGAAGGACAGTTCGTAGCTGCCATGTGGGTGCTGGGAATCAAACCTGGGTCCTCTGCAAGAGCAGTCAGTGCTCTTAACCACTGAGCCATCTCTCTAGCCCCAAAAGTTTTAAGGTCTAAGTTTAACAAAACATGTGCAGAGTCTATATGTAAAAAACTGTAAGACATGACAGAAATCAAAGATCTAAGTGAGTGAAGATGTAGTCTGTGTCCATGGATTAGAAGGCAGTTTTGTTATGATTGCCAGTTTGATATACAGATATAATCTCACTGAAATCCCAGAAAACCTTATTTTTTTAAGATTTATTTTTATTTTATGTGGATGAGTGTTTTGCCTACATGTATGTAAGTGCACCACATGTATGCAATGCCTGTGGAGGCCAGAAGAAGGTGTTAGAGTTGTGGATGGTTGTTAGCCCCCATATATGTGGGACCTCTCTGGAAGAGCATCAAGTGCTGAGCCATCTCGCTGTTCCCATGGGGCAGTTCTTGACACTGAGGATACTGGATGTGATTTTTGAACAGGTTATAAGAGGGGGGTCCAGGAAGCATTCAATCTAGAAGATGCCTTCTTCCCCCTAGTTAATGCTAAGGCAGGCCTTTCTTGGATTTTTGCTTAAAGGCATTGGCTAACTCTACTCACTAAGGAGAAGAGGTGATGTTAGTGAAATTCCTGTATCTGTGTGCTGGGTAGCTTTAGATACAGAGTGTAGAACCTTTTGCAACTGGTATGTCAACTCTGAAGCAAAGAAATGCTTCTCTGGTGTGGTTTGGTGTAAATAATCTAGGGATGGATTAGGATGGGATAAGTATCTAAGTCATGGGATGCAGAAGAGAACAAATAAAATGGAACAGAAAATCCTCCAACTAGGATGAAAACAAACTTGATTTGGAAAACACTGGCTGAGAATTTCCTTAGTACTTTGGTGTGGATGAACTTAAAAACTCTGGCAGCAACCCCAGTGCTCAATAACGGGTAAATGAATGAACAAGATGTGGTGTAACCATATGACTTACCTTAAAAAGGAAGGAAATTCTAACAGTTGAACCTTGAGGATGTTATACTATGTTACAGAAACCAGACACAAAGACAAATATGGTAAGACAAATACCACTTACCTGAGGTACCCGAAATAGGTAAATTCATAAAGTCAGAAAATAGAATAAAGGTTGCCAGTGGCTGAGGGTGAGGGAATGGCAAGTTAATGTTTAACAAATAGAGTTCTGATTTTGCAAGATGAGAAGAGTTCTGCAGGTGGAGGGTGGCAATGGTTGCACAATGTGAATGTACTTCACATCACTTAAAATGGTTAAGGCGGTAAAACTTAGAACAGATATTAAGAAAGAAAACTGGGAACAAAGGTAAGGCTTCTTGCTCTTGGGAGTTTAGTTGGTGTGTAGTGACTATCTGGGTGCCTGTAACTGAGTGAGGTACAGCCTCATGGCCAAGGCCGAAGTGACTGAGCAAGCCACAGGCACGGTGACCCTGGAGGAGTCACTCCAGAGTTCTGTAGCAACCACAAAGCCTGGTGGGCTTACCTGATTCTTTCTGTAAGGACTGGGAGAGAACTCTCATTTCATAGGGGCTGAGTGGGAATGCTTTTTAAAACTTGGGGAACACTGTAGAGCTTCACTTTTAAAAGATCTCATCCTTGCTTCTCTGTTATATCCCCCAAACTTGTATACACTTAAATACACACAAAAAAATTTCTTATAGCCAGGTGTAGTGGCACAGACCTTTAGTCCCAGCACTTGGGAGGCAGAGGCAGGCAGATCCGAGTTCTAGGCCATCTGGGGCTACAGGGAGACCCTATCTTAGCAGCCATATTCAACCAGGAAGTATGGGGACAAAAGCCAACAAATTAAATATTGTGGATGGGGCTGGGGATGTAGTTCATTGGGCAGAGTGCTTGCTCAGCTTATATAAAGCCCTTGGATTGATACTTAGCACCTCATAAGCCAGATGTGGTGGTACACATCTGGAACCACAGTACTTGGGAGGTGGAGGCAGAGGGATCAGAAATTCAAGGTCCTCTTCAGCTATATAGTGAGTTGGAGGCCAGCTTGGGTTATATGAAAAATAAATAAGTATATCAAAGTAAATAAGTATATCAAATAAATAAATAAATAAATAAATAAATAAATAAATAAATAAATAAAATAAATATTACAGAGTATGGAGAAGAGGCATTCTGAGTCACTGATTACAACACTGAGTGGCAAACCAATCTTAAAATGACTTTTGGATTTTTTGTTAAAAATGAAAAGCCAGGTATGGTGGCACATGTCTTTAATCCCAGCATTCAGGAGGCAGAAGCAGGTGGATCACTATGTAGTCAGCAAGAGTTACATAATGAGACTCTGTCTCCAAAAGATAAAATAAAATAAAATAAAATAAAATAGGGCTGGAGAGATGGCTTAGTGGTTAAGGGCACTGGGGTTCAGTTTCCAGCACCCACATGGCAGCTAAATAACTGTCTGTAAATCTAGTTCCAGGGGGGTTTAACACCTTCTTCTGACCTCAGCGGCATTGCATGGGTATAGTTACATCCATGCAAACAATACACTTATTCACACAAAATTTTTAAAAACTATTGAAAATAAAGAAGTAAATAATTGGTTCTGGAGAGATGGCTCAGTGGTTAAGAGCACTGACTGTCCTTGCAGAGGACCCAGGCTCGATTCCCAGCACCCACATGGCGGCTATGAACCGTCCTTAACTCCAGTTCCAGGGGAATCTGAAGCCCTCTTCTGACCTCTGTGACATTGCACAACAAGGGTGCACTCACATACATGCAGGCAATACACTCATACACATAAAATAAAAATAATATTTTTTTTAAAAAAGAAATAATAAGTCTCCCTGTAGCCCCAGCTGTCCTGGAACTCACTATGTAGACCAGGCCTGGCAAAAATAAATTTTTAAAAAATCTGTGATTTAAGGAATTGCTAGTGGCTTTTCCATTCGTTTTGTTTTGTTTTTTGATTTTTTTTTTTTCCTTTTTGAGACTAGGTCCTTCTGTAGACTCAGCTGTCCTGGAACTCACTAAATAGACCAGGCTGGCCTTGATCTCATAGAGATGAGCCTACTTCTGCTTCCTGAATGCTGGGATTAAAGGTTTATGCCGCCACCACCCACTGCTGGTTTGCCTATTCTAGAAATTAAATACATATTAACTAGTCAACACTCCTGTTTTCTTTATCTTTGAATATCTTTTTGTGTGTATTTTGGGTACCTTCTTTATGCTCATTATTCAGTTCACTACCTTTCTTTCTTGCTATATTTGATCAGTTTGGCACCCATCTTACTGTGTTTTTCCAAATTTCATTTCTAGAAGCTTTGTAACCTTCCTGGCAGGAATGACAGCATTCCAAAAAGACACGTGTGCCCCTCCCTTTGGTTGTCTGACTATTGAAACTCTGGTCTCCGAGGAATTGAAATTTCCCCAGGAATCTCTTTCTGGGAGAAGGAAAATGATGAAATCTGGTGCCTGAGGGGGAAGAGATTTCACACAGTTCTGACAACTATCAGTCCACCTTACAGGAGAGCTGAGAATGATGACGGGGCAGGATGACACAGTGACCCAGACTGCTCAGCTGTGCACACTTCAGGCCCTCTGTTTAAACCTAAACCTCACCTCATGGCCCTGAAGATGGTTGGAGATAGGGAAGGAGGAGATTACAGGACCATTCAGTTCCCAATATGGCCACATAGAACAAATCTTTTTTCTGCTTTTCTCTATTACTTGGACTATTTAACCGGCCTACTGAGGGTGGGTGGCCAAGCTTATTAGCTTGTTAGGGCTGCCCAGGCCCAGGCTCTGACTCTAACAACTCCAGTAACAGCTTTCTTTCTTTTTTTAAAAAAAATATTTTATTTATTATATTTTATGTGTCTGAGTGTATTTCCTGCATGTATGTGAGTACACCCGTGTCATGCAGTGCAAAGGTCAGAAGAGGATGTTGGATCCCCTGCAACTGGAGTTACAGACAATTATTAGCTGCCATGTAGGTGATGGGAACTGAACCTGGATCCTCTGCAAGAGCAGCTAGTGCTCTTAACTGCTGGACTGTCTTTCCAGTCTCTAGGGTTTGCATTAAAGGAATTCAGGATTATAATAAATCTCTCTCTCTCTCTCTCTTTTTATGGTACCACATCCCTTCCTGATTTCTATTTTTCCTTTTATCTTTTTTTGTTCTCTCTTTTATTTTTGGAGTTAGGTGTTGTATTATGTTGCCCAGGCTTGAATTTACAGTGAGCCAAACCAAGCCTCAGGCTCTGAGAAACTAGGATTATAAAATGTTTTGTATGTGTGCTGGTGCACATGAGCATGTGTGTTGAGGTCAGAGGTCAATGTCTTGGTGTCTTCCTCAGTCACTCTCCACCTTTTTGAGACAGGGTCTCTCACTGAACCTGGAGCTCACTGGACAGTAAGCTCTAGAGATCCTTCTATCTCCCCCATGCTGGGATTACAGGTGTGTGTCCATGCCTGGTGTTTTTATATGGGTGCTGGGGAACCTGAACTCAGTCCTCCTACTTACACAGTGGGCACTTTACACCATCACTTACACTGAACCATCTCTGCAGCACCTATTACCTCTTTAATATGCTTAGACATACTTCTTATTTATTGTCTCCAGTTCTGGTAGATAATCCTCTAATTTATTGTGCCTGCTGACTAGCTCAAGTCCATCCTTTTCATGACTGTTGTAATTTGGCTTGTGGGCATATTTCCAGCAGCCACTAAACTACAGGAGTTTCCTGCATCTCAGCCTATTAGCTAAGGGCTTCATACAGAAATCTGGGCTCTAAACCTCATCTGGCCATTTTTTGCCTTCTAAGAGATTGCATTTTCTGCTCATACACACAAAAAATCCAAGTTGGAGACAAACTCCTTTATCACCTCACTGGGTGTAGGCGTAGTTTTTGAAATGCCAATGTCCACTAAGAAGAACAGTATGTTGTGAACTTTGGTTTTGTGCAGGGGCTCAACACTCATTTGTGTATCAGAGCTTAGATGCTTGTTTGTTGTTCTTGAATGGGCATTAAATAAACCCTGCAGCCACAAGGGTCTGTTCCACATCTATTAGGAGCCTGACCACCATCCTACATCATACTCCTCCTATCCCCCCTGCCCCAGTTACCATGCTCTCAGCTCCCACTTCAGTTTTCAATTCTTCTAAAATGTCTGGCATCTGGTCATTTCCTATTCTTTTTTGAGAGCTCAGCTATATTTGATACTATTTTTTTGGGGGGGGCGTTCCTTTTTTTTGAGACAGGGTCTCCCTGTAGCCCCAGCTGGCCTCAGTCTCACAGAGATTTGCCTGCCTCTGCCTCTGCCTCTGCTGGGATTAAAAGTGTGCACCACCATGCCTGGCTTTTTTATTTTTTTTGCTTTAAAAAAATACTACATTTAAGTTGCTGGAGAGATGGCTCAGTGGTTAAGAGCACTGGCTGCTCTTGCAGAGGATCCAGGTTTGATTCCCAGCACCCACATGGTGGATAACAACTGTCTGCAACTCCAGTTCCAGGGGATCTGGTGCCGTCTTCTGACCTCTGTGGGTGAGGCATGACACAGATGCACTTACATGCAGGCGAACAATACACCCATACACATAAAATAAAAATAATAAAATATATTTACATTTAAAATGTTTGTGTGTGTGTGTGTGTGTGTGTGTGTATGTGTTGGAGGATATCTTTTGGGAGTCAATCCATGTGGGTCCTGGAGATCGAACTTGGGTCATCAGGCTTGGAAGCAAGTGCCTTTACTATCTATCACACTATCACAGATATCTCACTGGCTTTACAGTTGATGGCTTCAAAAATAACATTTCACTGATATTTCTAGGTGATTAATGATAATCCACCTCACTGTATTTCTAGAACTGAAATTCACTCATAATGATTCTAACATAAAACTCTGAGTCTTGGGGCTGAAGAGATGGCTCAGTGGTTAAGATGGCTGAAGAGGACTCAGGATTCCTCCCAGCATCCACATGAGGGTCAACAACTGTTCATGAGTCCACTTCCAGGGGAAATCTGATGCCCTTTTCTGACTTCCTTGGGAATTGTACAACCCGGTGTACTTACACACATGCAGGTAAAACACTCATACACATAAAATAAAAAGTATATATTTTTTAAAACTCTGAGCTTAAATCATATTTAGACAAACTCAATAAAATTTTATATAAGGAATCATGAGTAACAGATCTGAGTATTATATATCTATTTAGTGGATAGCATGAAGTTCTTTTTCATGAAGTAGAATAAAATATTAAAATGATCTAGAGTAGGATACTTACCAGGCTGGGTTTGATGCCTACACTTTCAGCTGCTTCAAATGCCAATAAGAGATTCCTTTTCTGTTAAAAAGAGGAAGAGAATGGAATCACTTAACTGAAAATATGTAGCTTTTGCTACGAAAGGCCAGCAACTGACACTCCCACAGAGATTACCTACTGTGATAAAACAAGTCAAATATGCACATACAAATGAGCTCTGGGTTTTGGGGAATAAAGATTAACAGGTTACAAATGCCATTGGGGGGGAAAAATCACTGATTGATACCTGATTATAAAGACAAAGTTTTGTTGCTGACGTTACTTTTTGCTTTTTCAAGATGTATGACATTCCTCACATTCTGCTGTATTGAGTTTATCATGGTGTTACTTCATAAATGATTATCAGACTGGGTGTGGCAGTGGCACACTCCTATAATCCCAGTACTCAGGAGGCCGAGGCAGGAGGACTGATTTTGATGCCAGTCTAGGGCTACACAGTGAGACCCTGTCTTACAAAAATTATGGCTGGGCATAGTGATACCCTCCTTTAATTTCAGCACTTGGGAGGCAGAGGCAGGTGGATCTTTGTGGGATCGAGGCCAACCTGGTCTACATAGTGAGTTCCAGGCCAACTAGAGCTACAGGGAGCCTGTCTCAAAACACAAAAACAAAACAAAACAAACAAAAATCAAAATCATATACAATATACAGTCATATAAGTAGAATCAAATGAAAAATCATTTCCTCCCCAACTCAGAGGACCTCTTCTTCTTCTTTTTTTTTTTTTTTTTTTTTTTGGTCTTTTTGAGACAGGGTCTCTCTGTAGCCCCAGCTGCCCTGGAACTTGCTATGTAGACCAGACTGGCCTCAAACTCACAGAGATCTGCCTGCTTCTGCCTCCGGAGTGTTGGGATTAAAGGTGTGTGCCACCACACCCGGCTCCCTTTTTATTGTTTGGTGGGCCTTTTAGGGCCTTCACTATTGCTGGTTCTATTTGGGGCCTCCAATGGCATTGCTAATCTTTCTGTTGACAGGGCTTCCCAGCTTCTTCACCAACTTGTCAAGTTAAACATCTAACTTTTAAAAACTTAGAACAACCATTTCCCTTCCTAAGGGCTAATGCAAGTTTCCTATGTTCTGCTCCTGGGATGACTCTGCAAGTGGGAAACAATAAATCAGTAGTGACAGAATCACCATGACTACTGCTCCCTGTTCACAGGAAAAAAAAAAAAAAGGTTTCTTCCAACTTCAGTTGGAGAAGTACAAGCTTGGCCCTACCCTTATCTTTATAGACCATCCAGTCTTTTCTTTCTTCCTTCCTTCCTTCCTTTCTTTCTTTCTTTCTTTCTTTCTTTCGGTCTTTTTGAGACAGGGTCTCCCTGTAGCCCCAGCTGGCCTGGAACTCACTGTGTAGACCAGGCTGGCCTTGAACTCACAGAGATCCGCCTGCCTCTGCCTCCTGAGTGCTGGGATTAAAGGCATGCGCCACCCTGCCCGGCTTCTTCTTTTTTTTTTTTTAAATACTTTATTATTTTTCATTTTATGTGTATGAGTGTATTGCCTGCATGTAGCTAAGCGCACCTGTGTCGTGCAATGCCCTTGGAGGACAGAAGAGGCCGTCGGATTCCCTGAAACTGGAGTTACAGACAGTTGTTAGCTACCATGTGTGTGCTGGAATTCAAACCCCGCTCTTCTGCAAGAACAACCAGTGTTCTTAACCGCTGAGTCATCTCTCCAGCCCCACCATACAGCCTTTTCATCCCTAGTTCTAGACTATCTCATTCACCCAAGGTCACTCCTCCTTCCCAATCTCCACTGAGTCCAATGGAGACAGGTACTCTGTCTCTCAGCACTTTGATATGTTAATTCTCAAACACACCAACATTCATTAATTCATTATCATTTTTGGTGAAGTATCAAATTGAGGTTGCCTAGGAAAGGGGATCAGGTGCCAAGGTCACAAGACTCAAGAGCACATGCTTTTGTTGGGGTTAATTAAAAGTTATTAGTCCAAATTATGTCCACTGATAAAAGTCATTCCAACACATTCATTTGGGAAAAATGTTTTTTCCACTACCATGTTTAATTAACAGTGTTGGACAGAGGATTCTAAAGCTGAAAATAATCTCCCATTAAAATGCTAACAAGCACCACTCCACAATCACTGAGCCTTAGTTCAGAGCTTTTCAGAATCCAGGCTGTTCTCTGACATTTCATTGGACAGATAATCTCAAGAATCACTAGGTCATGCCCTCATGCCTCCATAATTCCTAAGAGAGCCACTAGGTTTTAGGAAAAGTAAGTAGGTGCTTTAAGTATAATTGGGAAGCAAATGCTCTGCTCATTTCACACTTTATGTTCCATGCATAATTTTGCAATTTTATACATTAGGGTCCCCATCCACAGTTCTGGGAATTGAACCCAGGCCCTTGTGCATGCTAGGCAGGCACTCTTACCACAGTCACATTTAGATTTTACACATAAGCTGGGCATGGTGGCATGCACCTGCAGCCCCAGCTATCTGGGAGGCTAAGGAAGGAGAACTGCTTGAGCCCAGGAGTGCAAAGCCTTTTACACATAATTCCCTATTCTTTCCATTTTCCCATGGTCTTCACTCTGCCCTTGTCTAAACATCTGGCCCTAAGCCAAAGGTTTGCCTTGACACTGAAGTTAACTCACTGATCTAGAAATAAGGTCAGAGAAAAAAGCAGAAAGACCTGGCTATGCATACTTTTGTCCAACCTGTGGTGGAGGCTTTGGGAAGCTGCTGATCCATGGTAATGTCCAATATACCAGTCTTCTCCCTTGAAATTAAGGGATGTTGATGGAGAACAGGAAACCTCTTGTTTCCACAACACTTCTCTGTTCAACGAAGCAGAGCAGTACCTTGGCTCCCATGGTAAGTCAGTATTTGATTCTTTCAGCCCACACTAGGAATAGCAATCCCTATTTTGGTGCTAATGAGGTCTTTGTTCTTACTTTAAAGTCCCTTTGGTTGAGGAAGAAGGGAATCTGTGGGCTGCCATTGCTCAGGAATACAAACAGTTTTTATGGCTTGTGAGATGTAATGCCAAACTGCTTCCTAAAATGTACACCAGTTCTCAGCTTCAGGAACCAGGCATTATGTGCCCTTTTTTCTTGTACCCCTACTTGCCAAATGTGTTAGGCTAAACATGGCATTTTATTGTTTTAATTTGTATACTTAGGTTACTAATAAGGTCTAAAGAGAGGGCATCGCTAAACCAAAGATTTTATACAGAATTCTCCCTAGACTCTGTAATCTGACTCAAATGGAAGTGTTTTCTAATCAGAAATTGAACACAGAATAAATAGTCCATGCTGGAATATTATTTCAAAATGCTCTGAGTAGCATAACTTGGAACACAATGGAGTTAATTTTTTGTTCATAAATTTTTTGGCCCATTTTGGTGGCAGGAGGCACCAATGCCCAGGTGTCATTCTCCTAATGCTCTTTCACTTCAGAACACTATTGTTGCTGCGGTGCTCTGGGGAGAGGCTTAGGGACACAGTCAGTGTCCTCAGGCAGTGAGCCTTGTCTCAGTGGCAGCTCTGCCAACAGAGGTAGGGACAGGGCGAGGGGCTGTTCTTCAGTGTCTGCCTGTGTGGGGAACTTCTAGGACAGTCTGTGTGCCTACCTGATGGCAAAACTCTGTCCCTAGCCTGCCTAGTAGGGACTGTGCTGGTGTGGTACCTTAATGTGTGGGAGAAAGGATGCTGTTTGCTCACATTCTTGTTCAATATTCTTGTTCAATTGTAGATACATAAACACAGTCCACTCTAGAAACTGACTCTAGGCCAAGTGGAATGTTTTCATAGGCTGACAGCTGAATATTCTGTATTTCTATCGAAAACAAAAACCCACCAAAATGGCCCAGTGACTGCAATGTACACTGTGACAGCATATCTCTTTAATGCCACAGAAGACATCCTTCTGTTTTTTAAAAAAATATTTTATTTATTATTTTTATTTTATGTATATGAGTGTTTTGCCTGCATGTATGCAAGTGTACCACATGTGCAATGCCCTGCAGAGGCCCCTGGAACTCAGGGGTGGTTGTTAGCCACCACATGGGTGCTAGGAATTGAATCTGGGGTCCTCTGGAAGAAAAGCAAGTATTCTTAATCACTGAGCTATTGCTCCTGCCCCACATCCTTCTGTTTTTGAGACAGGGTCTCATGTAGCCCAGGCTGGCCTTGAACTCACTGTGCAGTTAAGGATGGCCTTGAACTCCTGATCCTCCAGCCTCTACCTCCTAAGTGCTGGGATTACAGGCATATATAGCTGTGCTCAACTCTTAATTTTAATTAAAAATATTTTATTTATTATTTTTAATTTATGTGTATGCGTGTATTGCCGGCATGTAAGTAAGTGCACTCATGTCATGCAATGCCTGCGGAGGACAGAAGAGGCTGTTGGATCCCCTGGAACTGGAGTTACCGACAGCTGTTAGCTATCATGTGGGTTCTGGGATTCGAACCCGGGTCTTCTGGAAGAAGAGCCAGTGTTCTTAACTGCTGAGCCATCCCGCCAGCCCCCAATTTTAAATTTTTTTTCTGGTCTTTTTGAGACAGGGTTTCCTTGTAGTCAGTCCCAGCTGTCCTGGAACTCACTATGTAGACCAGGCTGGCCTTGAACTCACAGAGATCCACCTGCCTCTGCCTCCTGAGTGCTGGGATTAAAGGCATGCGCCACCACGCCCGGCTTTCCCAATTTTAATTTTTAACTAATTTACGTTGGCACTGGGGATAAAACCCAGGGCCTCATACATGCTAAGCACAGGTTCTACTACTGAGCTATACCCTCATCCCTTTATCATACAATTTTTATATTTCAATTTTAAGAGATTCTTGCAAACATAAGTCTCTTGGTGCCCTTTTTGGTGTTTATATACACTACAAAGCACTCCAAACCAATCAACCACCCATCCACCACTTCACACAGAGTGGCAAGGTCTAGATAATGTTCACTCATTCCAAAAAGGTCTGTGGTGGACACATTCTCTTTGAAGCCAACCTCAAGCACACCTTCTTGGAAAACTTCCCAGCTGCACATTTCCTTA